ATCGCCACCATCACCACAATGATATCATCAGCGCCATCACCAGCAGCATGACGATCAACATCATCAGCATCAGCATCGCCAGCATCATTGTCATCATCAGTATCAGCATCATCATCATCATCAACGTCATCATCATCATCATCATCATCAACATCAACATCAGCATCAACATCATCAACATCATCACCATTACCACCGTTCGCAGTGCCATCATCATCGTCATCATCATCACCATATCTCACCCCCCTACGATGTTGCTAGCCCATCCCACCTCACCTTTTCTCCTCGGCCCTCTACTCTCGCACCATCCCTTTCCCTCACCCTCCCGCCCTTCCTCTCGTCTTCATGTCATGCTTCATCGCCGATCGTCCTCTGCTGAGAACGATCGGGCACGAGGCGATGAAAGGGGAATCTACATATACACTCGTGTGTACATACGTACATATATATATGTATATATATATATGATATACGTACATGAAAAAATACATGTCGGACGCGTAACCTAGCTTATATGTAACGCGGACGCTTTCCCCGTCATGACGGTTACGCGCACGCCTACAAAAAAACATGTTGCATAACACATCTAAGAAATCGCAACATACAAAATAACCGCTGGCGGTAAAACAAAAAAAACGCCAAGAAACTGGCAGTTAAAAAAAACGCCAACGAACCTTAGGGTGCGGTGTGCCCGCCCTCCGGCGTGGGGCTCCCGCGTCGGATGCGATGCGGCCGCGGCCGCGGGGAAACCTCGCAGGGAGGCCATCCCGGAGACCCCGGGCGCGAGGTGCACACAAAGGGGGGGATCCAGGAGCGCCCTGAACGCATCAGCTCCTGCAGCGGCCGCGGGAAGTCACCGCGCGGCGCGGGGAGCGAAGGAACCCAGGGCACCCTGACGAAACGCATCTGGCTTCTTGACGCGCGCCTCCACTGCAGAGCACTTCTCGCGTCTCCGGCATCCCGCCTCCTCCATATTCCTGCCTTCTACTTGTGTCTTTCCTGCCACGCAGACGACACCTCACACGGACTCCCGGAACCTGCCAAATGCACAGCTGCCGCCACTTTCGCGGGCTCCTCAGGAGGCCCAACGCAGCGGTAATGCACGCGAGCCCAGACAAGACATCACACGGCCCCATGGTGAGCTTACACCTGCGCAACTGTCGCCACTTTCGTGGGCTCCTGGCAGGCCCAGCGAAGTGGGGTTGATCCCAGACCCAGACGAGACCCTAGCGGCTCCTGGAGAGCTGACAACTGCGCAACTGTCGCCACTTTCGTGGACTCCTGGGAGGCCCAGCGCAGTGGGAATGTACGCGAACCCAGACGAAACCTCGCGGCCGTCTGGGGGGTTGACAACTGCGCAACTGTCACTACTTTCGTGGGCTCCTGGGAGACCCAGCGGAGTTGCGAAGATACACGCGAGAACCCATGGGGGTTTGCCAACTGCGCAACTGTCGCCACTTTCGTGTGCTCCCGGGAGACCAATCGCAGTGGGGGGACACGAAGATTGAGACGACATGTCTTGGCACCCTGGGGGGCTCCTCACTGCTCAACTACGGTCACTCCCGTGGGCTCCTGGGAGGCATAGCGGAGTGGGGGGGCCAGGCAGACCCAGTCGAGACCACGTGGCTCCCTAGGCTGTGCTCGTCGTCGTCATCCCTTTTGCGGCCTGACATTGCGAAAATGTGCGCGTGAATGGGGGGTATTGATTTTGGTCTGGAATTGTTCGGCGTTGCAATCAAGAGTGTTCCGGATCCCCCGGTGTGTTTTGTATGGAGCACTCCTCTTGGTAGTCGCCTGGCGTTCAAGGAAGGGTTGGGTACGTCTCGGGCCATTGGAGGTCTGAGGTCCTCGATCCCAAGGGGGGATGCGTGATAAGCGACGCCTTCATCGCAAAACATGACTGTCCGTATTGGACATAAGTTGTCAGTCAACTCTCTGTCGCTACTGGTACTTCCGAGCCACGTTTACACATCAGAGCGGGGGGGGGCTGGGCAGGGGCATTTCACTCCTTGACGAACACCTTGCCCCTTGCCCCGACGTGCGGCCGCCCCGCGATCGCGGCGGCGACCTCCAAAAAAGGTCGGGAGGTTTGGTTCGGTGTCGGCTATCACGCAGCGATCCTCGGCGCCAGCATTCTTGGCCCTCCTCGGCCTCCCACAACGGCAACGACGAGGGAAGGGCAGCGATATCAGCACACACATCTTCCAATGTGCGGAATCCCCAAATGTCTCGACCCTTCCCCCGGGACCGTTGCCTCGTCCCGGGTCGTTGTTTGACGGTCCTGGGGCCCAGAGAAGACCCCCCAGGGCCGAAAACCGCAAAACCAAACAAACTCCCGTCGGATGTTTCCCCTACACGAACTCGGCGCCGAACGCCCCCCTCGGCAGATTGGCCGCCTGCCTCGCTGCTCGAGCAGCGGCACGCGCTTTCCTTTTGGGGGGCCCGTCGTTATAGGTCCTCTCTATGTACGGTGGAGGTAAATCCACAAGAAACCTTCCACAAGAAACCTGGCCCTGAGACCCAGGAAGTCCATTGATTTTTGGTGTGGCCACGTCACGCTTTCCATCGCAAAAACATCGAACCCAAAGAAGCCCAGGGCACCCTGGAAACAAGTAGGGTGTTTCTTGGCATGGGCCTCCACGGCCTCCACTGTATAGATTCTCTATGTGCAAAACATGCGTGCCAGACAGCCACAAAGCAAACCCGAACGCCACACCAACCGACCTGCCTGGGAGAGAACATCTTTATTTTTGTTGTTCTAGTGAAGGCGACGGGGGCCAAGCGACTTCCGCAATTCCACGCGCCCTGCTACCCCGACCGTGCAGAGCTTGGGCGTAAATCCGATTCAGAGCGAAGGCGCTGAATGGTGCGACCACAGCTGAAGCCGAATTTAAGGCTGAAGTACTCAGGGCCCACCCTGCAGGTTTGGTTGGCAGCACATCGTTGAACGCTGCTGTAGCCTCCCCTGCACACAAGGGCCCCCCCAGAGCATCAGCCAGACAAGTCGGCTTTGCGCTCTCATGTCTCGCTGAACTCTGGGCGCGTCTCGGCACTTCTACTGCCGCCGAACTCCGGCAACGGCGACAGCAACAGGGGCGGTAGCCCAAGCGTCACAGCCTGGCTGCGTTAAAGCCAAACTGCGCGAATTTCGACATCTGCACCAGGCATCGATCTCAAGCAGGATTGACCAAGCCTGCCTGCGGCGTGGCTGGCTAAGCGCTCTCGAGCATACACGATAAGAGACGGGCGCTACAGATGATGAGAATTGCAGTGGAAGGCACAGCAATTAAAGTTCAGCAAACAAACAAAACCACCTGCCTGGGACATGGTCGATGCATGAGCTGTCGTGAACAGAGGCGTGATCGCACAATTGCGGAATGAATAAGACCACACCAAATGCATACCCAACATAGTCATATGAGTTACACTAGCCAACACATCATGAATACGTGACTCATACACTTTTCACACGCCCTTGAGCAACACGGTGAATCTACATGCGACGGTCCCTCCTTAAAGAGCCTACAGAGGCAGCCCATGCACGTATGCTACACATGCAAGCGATCGGCGCTGACGTGATTTTGTTGTGACGGGGGTCGCTCGTCCGCTGACGTGAGATTGTTGTGACGAGGGTCGCTCGTCAAATTTTGATGCCGAAGTTGGGCAACGGTCTGGGCTACAACCCGACACGGAAGCTAACGCTCCCACGCGCGTGCAAGACATGCAAGTCTCAAAATCATCTGACCTGGCGGCGTCAACTGCAAGCCAAATAGCGGCGGGGCCCAATACATCCGCACTCAACAGACCCCGTCTGCTCTTCCTCATCGTACCCCTATGCTTTTCCCGCTTCCCGAATATTCCTCCCTGCTCCTCCTGTGGCTAATGGTCTGCTGCTGCTGCTGCTGCTGCTGCTGCTGCTGCTGCTGCTGCTTCTCCTCAAGGGGCCGAGCCCGCTCGGAGAATAGGCCTGTTGACCATAGAACGGTAGCTCAATAAACAAAGAAACAAGGGAATTGCTTGTGGCAGCGCAGAGAGTCCTCTCATTCCGCGCTGTCACACCAATAGTCTCCCTCCCCACCCCTCCCTCCATCAACGCCACCCCTGCAGGACCCCTTCCCCCGGCGGGGGTCAGGGCCAGGAAGACTCGTCATCGCAAAATCCGCAGCACGCGGCGCAACTCCATTCCGCGTCTGGCCGTGCAGAGCTCTGGCTGAGTGCGGCCGCGGGCGTGCTGCGATCGGAAGAACCGCGGGCGCCCACCTCGGCGCCACCGATGAGGCAGAGGAGGAAAGGTCGAGAACCGCGGGGGGAGTCACGACTACGAAGGGCCGTGGTCACGCGTTGCCTCGAGCCCGCGAGGCCCGGTGCGTGAGTAATCATTGAAGGGTGCTGAGGATGTAATGCAGGCCAGCCCTTTGTTCTGAGCCGCACGTGTTCCATGCAACGCGGATTGCTGATCGAGGCTGCCCACGTGGCGAGCAGCAGTAGTACCGTCCAAGCCTCAGGTTAAGCAGCGGAAGTCTCCATATTCTAACCTGACTTGCGACGATCCGTTCTTCAGATCCGTCGGATGAATTCAGCCTCATCTGGAAGTCCTGCAGGCTCTCCAGACACAAGAGTGGTCGGCCGCCCCCCGAGGCCACAGGGGCAGGACGAGACGACGAACCGCGCGTGGACCTCGAGGCTGCTTGCAGGCAGCCCCCCTCCCGCACCGACCGGAGCCCGCCAAGGCAGCCCTCCTCCTCGCTCTGCCCTTAGAAGAAAAAACACAAATTTTGGCGCTCCGCGTGGATTTCTTCGATTCGCGCTGGACCCCCTCCCTCGCGCGCGGAGCGCGCCGGCGCCGCCGGGGCGTCCTGGCGCGGATCCAAGACATCCGCGCGGAGCGCCCAAAGTTTATGTTCATGTGTTTTTGTCTCTCCTTCGAGCCCTCCTGCCCCGTCTCCTTCCCCCGTGCCGTCCGTCCTCGTCCTCGCCGGCGGACCCTGGCCAGGCCCCGCTCAGTCGTCGTAGCGCTCGGGCTGCGCGCTCTGGAGCAGGAGCTCGAGCCGCCGCCTGCCCTCGGCGCTGAGGCCTGGCCACGCGGCTCCGAGCACGAGCGCCTCGGCGTGCTCGCCCCGGCTCCAGGAGCTGCTGCTGCTGCTGCTGCTGCTGGCGCAGGGAAACGCAAACTGGCACAGACACAAACACTCGGAGCTCCGCGCGGACTCCTCGGATCCGCGCTGGGACCCCCTCCCGTGGCGGAGCGCGCCAAGGGCGGCGCCGGAGGCGCCGCCAGGGGGGTCCAGCGCGGATCCGAGAAATCCGCGCGGACCTCCGAGTTTTCATGTTCCTGCCATGCTTCGTTCCGCTATGGCGGGCTGCTGCCAGCCGCTCCCGGAGCCCACCAGGTCCAGGTGGTCGGACAGGGATAGCCAGGGCTGGACATAAACGCTGCTTCTCGTGTTGCTGTCGTTCTGTTTGGTTTCGCTTGGCTCCACCTCTTTTCCTGCATCCCCCTCTCCAAGCGAACAACGAAACACCGCCGAAGTCCGGCAAAACGGCGTTTGGGTCCAGCCCTGGGGAGAGCCGCTGGGCTGGCTGGCCCTCCCTCGGCCCCGCGCCCGTGCGCGGCCGGCGCCCCCTGGCCCTGCCGTTGAAGGCCTCCAACTGGGCGAACTTCTCCTCGCCGTGGGGGAAGTGGCAGAAGTTGCAGTCCTGTGTGGTTGGCCCCAGATGGGGGGTCCAGCGAGGCTCGAGGGGGTGGTGGCATAGATCTGGTGCCATAGGTTTGTGGGGTGGCAAGAGACTTGGGGTGGGCGTGCAGCGCATTCTGGTGCGCAAATGTACTGCTGGACGTTCGCGTGCGATGCATTCGTTGCGATGCAATGCAAGACGCTTCTCTGGCGCAGTCCATTTGCAAGACAGTTGCCCCAAACCTATTGCACCAGCCTCTTTCAGCTGGACCCCCTGTTCCCAAACATGCGACGTCTTGTTTTTTCAGGACGGCGTCCCGGAAGTCCAGACCCTTTCCCCGGCGCTGGTTTTTCATCCGGAATCGGTTTTGTGACGGTCCCGAAGGCAGGCGACGAGGGCCCCAAGAAGCCGAACTTGGCCAAGAACCTCCCTTCCTGATTTTTTCACGACGCGATAGTGTCGGGGTCTGGGTCATGGAGAAGTCCTCGCCGCGGGGGCACTTCTCGGGGGCTTCGTGGAAGCGGCACGGGCGACACTGGCCCTTGAAGTGGTTCTTCGAGCCCCTCGAGGTCGCGCGGGCCATTGCCACCGGCGGCGGCGGCGGCGGAACCTCGACGCCAGGGGCTCGGCACCCGCCGAGGCTCCTGGGCTCTGTGGGGGCGGCGCCCTGGAAGGAGGAGGAGGAGGAGGAGGAGGAGGAAAAGGAGGAGGGGGTGGAGGATGAGGAGGATGAGGAGGATGAGGAGGAGGAGGAGGAGGAGGAGGAGGGGGAGGCAAGTTAGGTGCGCTCGCGTCAACATCTGACATCCTACCCCTCCCTCCCATCCCTTACAATGGCGCTGATTTTCTCTATCCGCGGACGCGTGTCGTAGCGGACCTGTGGCTCCGCGCACGTGTGCGTAGTGGTTGGTGGTGCGCGTGCGTGCGTGCGTGTGTGCGTGGTTGTGGTTGTTGTGGTGGTGGTGTGTATGTGTGTGTGTGTGTGCGTGTGTGCGCGTTTGCTGTGGTGTGACGTGGTGTGGCGTCTTGGTGGTTTGGTGGTGGGCCAGGTGCGTACGTGCGTGATGGCGGTGGTGGCGGTGGCGGTGGTGGTGTGTGTGTGTGCGTGTGTGCGTGTGTGTGTGTGTGTGTTTGTGTTGTGTGCGTGTGTATGTGTGTATATATGTGTGTATGTGTGTGTGTGTGCGTGCATGCGTGCGTGCGTGCGTGCGTGCGTGCGTGCGTGTCTGTGTGTGCGCGCGTGTGATGTGGTGTGACGCGGTGTAGCGTGGTGGTGGTGGGTGGGGTAGTGCGGTGGTGGTGGCGGTGCGCGGTGGTGGTGCGCGTGCGTGCGTGCAAGCGTTGGTGGGTGGAAGTGGCGGTGGGTGTGCGTGCGGCGGGGCGGGGCGTGGTGCGGCGCGGTGGTGGCGGGCGGATAGGCGCGCGAGAAAGAGGCCCGCGCTGGGGCGAGAACGCCATCCTGAACGACGGAGGCAAAACACCGATCCGAAAATGAGGCCCACGCTGCAGCGGGAGCACGATTCGGAACGATTCGGGAGCAGAAATGAGGCCGGCGCCTCAGCGAGAGCAGCATTTTGACAAAAAAACGCAGGCGAAAACCCAACTCCGGGGAATCGTGTGTGTAAGAAAACAGTACGCGGGGGGGGGGGGGGGGGGGGGGCGAATACGCAAAAGACGTCATCAGGGGAAGAGGGAGAGTAGTATTCATATTGAGTAATTGTAGAAGGAGGAGGAGGGAGGAGGAGAAGGAGGAGGATGCGGAGGAGGAGGAGGACGAGGAGGAGGGGTAGGAGCAGGACAAGGAAGGGGAGGAAAATGGAGGATGATGGAGGAGGGGGAGGAGGAGCGCGGCTAGCCTGAGGCAAGCGTGTCTCCTGGGCCTCAGGGGGCTCGACGCCGTGCGCTAGGCGGAAAGTTCGGCCAGCGCGCGACGAGAGCACGGGCAGCAGCCAGCAACGCGTTTGGCTGGATGGCCAAGGCCGTTCTGCAATTGTTATGAAGGTGGTACGCGAGGACTACGCGTCAGATGGTGGCCTGGAGCGACATGTCGCTCGGCGCAGGCGGGAAGTCTGCTGCGGGGTCCAGCCCCCAGCTCGTCAGCGTGCTGATAATGGGTGGAGAATCAGGGGACCAGAGGAGGTTCCAGAGGCGAGGACAGGAGAGGTAGTGGGGGAATGAGTCTGGCTGCTCGCAACAGCCGAACACGCAGCTGCGCTGCGCGAGGGCGTGCATGCGGGAGGTGGTTGTCCACCCGCCGGCCAGGGTCTTGAGTGTAACCCAGCGCCAGCTGGCGCGAACTCTACGCAGGGAATTGGCGAGCGACTCCCATCGCTCGGGCAGTAGCTCGGGTGCGATATGCAAGCCCCGCACGCCAATCCGCTTCGCAAGGGCGACTGCGAATGGCGATGCGAATGCGGACTTGCGGACGGAAGCCGCAAAGGCTCTCTGAAAATGGTGGCGGCGCGGCGGGTGGGCTTCCAACGCCAAAACCTTGTCCGTCTGCGCTGCGCGGTGAGCGGCTTGCATCGTCTCCGGCGTGAGTGGGGGAGTGTGCTGCGCGTCGCGCAGCTGGGCGCAGTGCTGCACAATGGCGCGCGGTTGCTCCCAGAAGCTGGGAGACCACAGTCCGTCCAACCAGCGATGGAAAGAGTGAGCTGTGCTTTCCTCCCGCGACGCGTCACGAAGCCGAAAGAAATGCGGTTCCCATAGGTCGGCCAAAGTGCGCGATGCCGAACGAGCGGCAGCGGCGACAGACATGACCTGAACCGAACGAAGAACAGGAGGCGGCGACCAATCCGCCATCGCGAGAAGTTTAACCTTGCGGAACATATTCGGCGACAGCGCCAGCATCTCGTGGAACATGCAATGCTCGCAGCGAACGATGGACGCGGTGACAGGGACAGCAACTGGCCCACATAGCGTAGCGAAGACAACACAGACGCGTCATAGAGATGAGCCGTGGAGTCGCTTCCAGAATGCACGCGCTGGAGCGAGTGCGCGCGCTGCCACCATGTCTGCCCAGAGGCGCGCCACTGATCAGCCAGGGGACCGACGGGCCAAGCAATATTCAGAGGTATTTAACACGCCCCTCGATCGAAAACGCACGCCAGGCGGGCGCATCCGCGGAAGGGCAGGCCCCGGGCACGGGCAATGGTGGCAGGCGACGCTGCCGCCCAAAGAGGGACTGCAACACACTTGCGAGGCTCGAGTGAGAGGAGAGCGAGGCTAGCGGCAACATCAAAGGCCTCAGCCACTTTGCCGAGCACTCCGACGAATCCCACCAGCCCTTTGGGCGTGAGTGGTTTAGAGAGCCCGCTCTGTTCTCAACCCCCTTCTTCCCCTTCGGGGAAGGGTTTACCCCTACCCCTACCCCCTCCCCCTGGGCCTGGAGAGGGCGTTCCGCGGGTGGTCAGAGGGGTCGTTTTTGACTCCTGGGAGGGCTAAAAAACGACACCCCTCACGAGGATTCTGGTCCCGACGGGGGGAGGCAGAAAAAACCCTCTCCTCTTCTTTGAAGCCAAAATCATTGATTTTACTATGGTTTTGGCCCCATTTTGGCCTTCCGAGGGGGCAGCGCTCCTTAAAGCTCCCCTCTTCTTTCAAGGCAAAATCATTGATGTTACAAAAAGGTTTTGGCCTCATTTTGCCCTTCTGAGGGGGCAGCGCTCATTGAACCTCCCCTCTTCTGTGATCGATTCCCTCCAAGATGGCCCCAAGAAGCGCCCAGGAGGCACCAAGAGGCCCCAAGATGGCCCCAAGAGGCCCCCAGGAGGCCCCCAAGAGGCCTCCAAGAGGCCCCCAAGATGCTCCCAAGAGGTCCCCAAGAGGCCCCAAGAGGCTCCCCCGAGGCACCCAAGACGCTCCTGGCCCCTGGGGCCGCCAAGAGGCCCCCAAGACGCCCCAAACGGCCTCCAAGAGGCTCCCAAGAGGCCCGAAGAGGCTCCCCCAAGGCACCCAAGACGCTCCTAGAAGCCCCTGGGGCCGCCAAGAGGCCCCCAAGACGCCCCAAAAGGGGACGAGGTGCCCGAACGCCTCACGCCACGAGGAGCCCGAACGACTCACACCAGGACGAGGGGCCCGAACGACTCACACCACGAAGAGCCCGAACGACTCACACCAGAAGGAGGGGCCCGAACGACTCACACCAGGACGAGGCGCCCGAACGACTCACACCACGAGGAGCCCGAACGACTCACACTACGACGCGGGCCCCGAACGACTCACACCACGAGGAGCCCGAACGAGTCACACCAGGAGGAGGGGCCCGACGACTCACACCAGGACGAGGGGCCCGAACAACTCACACCACGAGAAGCCCGAACGACTCACACCAGGACGACGAGCCCGAACGACTCACACCACGAAGAGCCCGAACGACTCACACCAGGAAGAAGGGCCCGAACGACTCACACCAGGACGAGAAACCCCAAACGACTCAAACCACGAGGAGAACTTTCTCTCCCTCCTCCTCCGCCTCGTCCTTCTCCCGCTCCCCCCACAAGGAGGATGTACAAGGAGGCGGGAGGAAGGAGTAACAGGGGATATATGCGGGGGCAAGCGGACACACGCCTGAAAAACACGACTGTCGGCATGCTTCGCAAGAGTTGCTGTTGTGAGATGGGCTGGTGGGGATACGCGAAGCGTAAAGAATTCGCACATGATGCCCAGGTCGTCCGCGCATGCGCCCAAGTAGTTCTGCGAGGTAGCGCCCGCGTTGTCCAGCTCGATGGCGGCGGCGATATGGCGAATCAGAAGGTCCATTGCAATCGCCCAAGCGGGCCCGCTCGCAGGGCAGCCCCGGGCAACTCCTGGCTCGATCGCGAACGCGGCGGCGCGCGCCGTCGACCTTGACCGGAGAGGTGGGCGAGAAGCAGATAGTGCTTTGAAGAACTATGTTATGCTGAAGGAGGGGAACGCCGCTGCGGAGTCGAAGCTGATGAAGATGGGGCGGCGCGCCGAGGGATTCTCCAAGTGGCCAACGCGACGCATTCCAGCGTCCAGTCGCACGATGTGCTGCGTGAAGTTCCTGCCCATGACGAAACCCAACTGCGCCTTGTGGATCCGCCCGGCAACGAACGGCTGGATGAGGTGGTTCGCGGCGCCTGCGACGGCCTTGATGTCCGTGTTCTTCAGCGAGAAAGGGCGGGTGTCTTCGGGGAGGCGGCCGGTCGTGAGCTTGCCCAGGGGGTTGTCACCCTTCGGGAGAAACGCAAAGTCAGAATCTTTCAAGTCATGGGGGATCGAGTGCCCCGCGCAGAGGTGGAGGGCCAGGTCCTCCAGGATGGCGAGCGAGCGGCCGCGGGCAATCCAGGAGTTGCACGGCACTCTGTCTGGGCCAGGCGCTGAAGGGGAGGTCCGCTTCAGGAAGGCCCGCAGCTGGCGCATGGGCGGCTGCGTTGGAGTCGACGGACTTGCGGGAGAAAACGGGGCGCCAGTGGTTGCGCAGGGCGTCGACTACGTCGCCGCTCTCTCTCTCTCTGGCGACGGCAGCAGGGCCATCTAGGCCCGCGGTCTTGACCCCTTGGAAGACGAGTCGGCGCTTCCAGGGGGGCCCAGAGGAGGGCGCGCTTTTGGGGGGCCCGAAGCACCCTCTGGAGCTTCTCAGGTGGCAGGGCCTCCGGGTGGCTCCGCGGGGGCCTCGCTGCCCGTTGCGCTGGAGTGCGCTGGCGAGCCTCGAAGTCGCGGTGCAGGGCGGACGAAAGGTTCGCGAACTGGGCGTCATCGGTGGCTTCAGAATCTTGGAGTCGATGTCGAGGAGGCGCTTCCCCAACTCCGTAGTGGCGCGAAGGCGTCGTGCCTGCTGAACGCCTTGGCGCCATATCGCCCGCGAGATCGAACGCGCGGTGATGGCCCTGCCGCCGAAGAAGCCCGGCTCGGGGAGGTTCTCCGAGCTGAGGCGGGCCCAGTCGCCCCGAACCACGCGGGCAGCTTCGGGCATGCAGTACTTGCGCAGACGCCAGCGCGACTCGATGGGGAGGCGCCGCGCGTCCGCAGCGTCGATGATGTTCCGCAAATATGCGGCGTGTTTGGGGCCGCGGAACACAGCTGGAGGACCGGCTTGCTCGGAGGGTGGAGCGCGTGGTTCGACGCCGACCGAGAAGGAGATGACGGCGTGGTCGCTGGGGCGCTCGTCAGAGAGAACGGCTGTGTCGAGCAGGACGTGGACGGCGATCGAGAGCTCCGGCGTCGCGTGGGAGGGGGGGCTGATGAACGCGCGGCCGATGGATGAGGCAGTGTACTCGGCCCCGTTGAAGCGCGCGGGAAGCTCGGCCTCGACCTGCAACATGAATCGAGAAGGGCCTTCCAGAATGGCTGCTGATGGCGGTCGTTGTTGTCCAGCTGGAGGCGCGCGCGCGTCGCCTGGGACTGGTCGAAGCTGCTCGGCGGGCGGCTGGCGGTGTTGAAGTTCTCATGGCCAGGAAGGCGCGCATGATGTAGTCGTGAACCGCCCGATCGCGGGACGCGTGCCAAGCTGTGCGGACCCTGTCACGGTCGCGCGCTTGGAGTTCATGGTTGTGGATGTTCCTGATGGCGAGGGGGTGGCCTGTGTTCGCACTGCCGATGGCCAGCTGCTGGATGCGCCCAAGAACCAACGGGACATGCTCGAAGCTGGGGAGCTGGTCAGGGCGGGGGCGCTCCAGCTGCGCTGGCGTGAACCAGGGGATGAGAATGGCAGCGCCGCCAGCCAGGGCGGGCGCCTCGTGCGCGGGTTTTGCTACGAACTCGGGGAGGAAGAGCTCGCGCGGGCACGGCTGCGTGCCCAGCCAGGTGCGGAAGAGCACCTCGGCGCCATGGACCTCATGAAGCAGGATGACGTGCTTGCAGCGCGTGTACTTGAGGAGAGCTGCTTGCTTGCGGCGCCGCCTGCGGGGCCTGGTGCACATGAATGCTCGGGCATTTCAGCTGATGAATGAGGACGGCTTGGGAGAGTCAGCCTCGCGCCACGGGGGCCACGGGTGGCTTGGAACACCGCGTTGCAGTCTCTGCGTCGGCGAAGAGGGCCTTGAAGGCTGCGGGGATGTCCCCGCGGATGAGGCCGTCGAGCTCAGGGTTCGCCAGCGCGCGCTCGCTCCATTCGAGGATGGCGGGGTCGGCCTGGCCCTTGAGGGCGAGGCGCACCAGCGGGGCCGCGTCGCACAGGATCTCGCCCTTCGAGCGGAGTGCCCTCCATCGCAGCTGCGGGCGACGCTGGGCGAGGAGCTGCTGAAGCTTCTTGGACTGGATCTCTGTGCGGACCTGCTTGGGGGATTTGGCAGGGTTGATGAAAATGTCGAGCCGTCGCCCGTTGATGTCCGTGGAATAGAAACGCCGCCGTCTGCCAGCAGCGCCACGGAAAGCGCGAGTGCTCGCGGGGTGGCCACCTCCGTCGCGCCTTTGACCTGCAGAGTGAAGCGCCTGGTTGGAGCATCGCCATGTAGATCCACATGGGCGGGCTGGAGGCCAGCGTCTGCGCTCCACACGAGGAGGCCGTTGAAGACGACAGTGGGGGACATGATCCGTCGAACGCCGATGGAGAATAAGAGCGGGTCGAGCGAGCGGCCCCGCTTGGAGAGCCTGGAGAGGTCTGCGATGGGGAGCTGGGCCTCCGCGAGCGAGCGCGAGGGCGTCGTGCATCTTGTCGATATCCACCCACAGCTCCTTTTGTTCAGCTGCTTGACGGTCTTCTTCGCGCTTGGTGTTCGCCACCTGGTCTTCAAGACAGTCCACCCTCCGCTCAGTCTGTAGTACTTGTTGTTGGAGGAGTTGGCGGGACCTCTCACGGGACTGGTCCAAGAGGGTGTCTGTCTGCTGCTTGAATGCGTCCGCTGCCTGGGACATCTGGTGATGCATGAGATCTTGAAGTGCGCGGTCGAGGTCCGCAGGAAGCCCAGGTCGCCGAACGGGAGAGCGGTTTGCAACTGGCGTGGGAAGGCCACCAACAGGAGTGGCAGGGACGTGATCAGCTTGTTGAGCGGGGCCTTCTGCTTGCGATGCGAAGGTGGGGAACGCCTCCAGGTCCCTCTCGAGGGCTCGCTGCTGCTCGGGGTCGAGTTGGAGTGGTCCACGGGGTCGCCACGGGTCGGGCTGCTGGATCGGATCTAGCTGCTGTCCACCAGGAAGGCAGAATGAGTCTGGTCTGGCCGATGAGTGTCCCGATCTGGCGGTCCTTTGTCTTCCAGCGCCTGATGCCATAAGCGTGAGGGTGTCTGCAACGGCGGTGGCACGACGACACGACGATCTGCGCCTCCTCTCCAACGGCGTTGTGGGCCGCGGCTCGTACTTCGGTCCTCGTCGGGAGAGCTGGGCATGTCACGCCGCAGGGGACGCCAGCCGCCAACGGGAGTGCGGAACCACCACGTGATGACGACACGGATGAGATGGATGGCCGCCTGCCAGGCCAGTGCGATGAGCAGGAAAGCGTTTGGGCCGCTGCAAGCCCCAGGAGGTGGCAGCGCGCGGAAAGCCGAGGCCTGTGGGAGCCTACCCCATGGAGGCCGTGAAAAAGAAACTATCTTGGCCTTGAACCAAAATGGCTACGGAAGGGAGGGGAAGAGGAGGAGGAGGAGGAGGACGAGGAGGAGGAGGAGGAGGAGGAGGAGGAGGAGGAGGAGAGGAGGAGGAGGAGGAGGAGGAGGAGGAGGAGGAGGAGGAGGAGGAGGAGGAGGAGGAGGAGGAGATGAGGAGGAGGAGGAGAGGAGGAGGAGGAGAGGAGGAGGAGGAGGAGGAGGAGGAGGAGGAGGAGGGGGCGGAGCGGAGGCGGAGGCGGAGGCGGAGGCGGCGGAGGAGGAGGAGGAGGAGGAGGAGGAGGAGGAGGAGGAGGAGGAGGAGGAGGATGGAGGGGGGCCTGCGGCGCCAGGGCGGCGGGCACGGCGACCATCTGGATCGGGAGCTGCATCAGCAGCATCGCTTCTCGAGCTTCGGGCGACACCCCGCGGGCACGGCACCGGGTGCTTTCTCCGCCCGCCTGGGCCGAAAGACCCTGCTTGAGCCAGAATGGCTACGGTGCCTGGTAGAGAAAATCTCACCACAAACATCTTATCGCAACGAGTGGGTGGGGGATATCTAATTTTTTGAATGAAAAGGACCTAATATATGTAGACAGAGGTCTCCCAGATGGCGTCTGGGTAGATGGGGTCGGAGGATCGCGCCGCACCGCCGATGCATCGGCGACGCCAGCGCGGAGGAGACCGGGCTCCGCATCGAGCCGCATCGCCGATGCATCGGCGATGGGGCGCGATCCTCCGACCCTAGTTGCTCGGACCCCACCAAGGAGGCCTAGGGCCTAGATCGGATCCCATCTCGAAGGCCAGTGAGGGGCAACGTAACGGGGCGACCAGCTCAGCCGGGGGGGGGCGCGTCGACCTGGAATCGGCGACGCATCGCGGATACGTCGGCGACAAGGCCCCCGATGGCAGAACCGCACGTTTCTGTGCAAGGTGGGCTATCGGGCCCTATCGGCGATCAATTGGCGATTGCCGGTCGATTTGAGCAGGGACCGACCGTCCCTGCATTCCTATAGGCTTACCACCAAATGTTCGTAGAACCTCCAAATGTTCAAAAAAAACAACAATGAACGTAAGCCAGCTGTGCTAAAACAATGCAGTCCCATCCAGAAATGCTCTGAACATCCTTCGTGCAGACCACACAGGGTTCTTAGAACTGTCTTCGGAGGGCCCACAGGCAGGCTGGGACGCCTCGCCACTGCCTGAGATGCGCCCCCCCCTGAGCGTCGCGACCAGGGGTGAGGGCGGCCGGGCCGGCGTGGAGGTGCCTGCGCAGCTCGTCCGCGGGCGCCCGCGGCGCGGCGGCGCCGCCGCGCCAGCCGCGGAGCGCCGCGGCACGGCCGCGCTCGAGGCCCATCGGCGGCGGCGGGGGCCGCCGGCGCGGGGGGCTCTCGGCCCGCACGCGGCGACGGTCCGGGGCGCTCCCTCCTCCTCCTCCTCCTCCTCCTGATGCTCCTTCGGTGGCAGCTCAGGGGAGCCTCCCATGCCATCTTGCTGGCTCCCGCGAGTCTACGCCGATCCACGCTCATCGACGCTACATCGACGTTACATCGACGCTCCTCCTCCTCCTCCTCCTCCTCCTCCTCCTCCTCCTCCTCCTCCTTTCCCTTCGGTAGCATATCGTGGCAGCCACGTGCGACCTCGAAGTACCAGATTTACAGCATTATTGCATGCGCTAGCGTCTGGCAGTCGATGAGGGAGCGCCAATTTAGCGTCGATCAGCGTCGGTCAGCGTCGATTCGCAGGAGCCAGCAAGACGGCATGGGAGGCTCCCATGAGTTGACACCGACTCCTCCTGATGCTCCTCCTGTGAAGGGCAACGCCAGGGAGACAGCAGCTCCGCCTGCAGATTTCTTCTACGTAGCAGCCCCGCCATTTCGCGAATAAGAAAGACGCGGCGGGCGCGGGGTGGATCGCGGGTGGTCACGGTGTGGATCGCCGGGTGGGTCGCGGGACGGGTCACATGGTGGGACACGGGTGGGTCGCGGGGGAGTCGCGGGCGAGGACGACGACAGCGTGACAAAACAACAACCAGAATCCGCCAGAAGGATCGCCACTTCTGCCACGCACCCAAAAACATTGAATGACCGTTGGGCCCTCTCACCCTGATTGTTTCTGGCAACTGTCGTTGCCCGGGGGGGGGAGGCCTAGGTAACAATAATAACGCTTGGGCGGGGTGGGGCACGTCGGAGCTATCCTCCTCTAGACTGTAACGCTTGGACGGTAATGCTCCTCCTCCTCCTCCTCCTCCTCCTCCTCTAGATGGCGCTCCGAAAAGGGGGGTCCGAGCAAACGGGGTCGAAAGGTCGCGCACCACCGCCGAGGCATGGTCGACGTCGGCGTTGAGAACATCGGGCTCCACGTCGGCGACATCGCCGGTGCATCGGCGATGTGTGGCGATCCTCCGACCCCATCTACAGTCGGACCTAGGCCAGAAGAACATCCTTCAAGAACACGAGACACTCCGTCGGACAGAACTCACAGAACTTCCAAGGTTACCCTCCCCAGGATCCACGATACCATCCAGCAAACACGACGAACACTAGAGCACCCTTCCCGAATCGACCTCGATCCAATACCTCGCTCCGACTGTACTTTGAGCAGGGACCGACCGTCCCGGCATTCCCATAGGCCTACCACGACATGTCCACAGAACCCCAGCGTTTTCTAATCACACAAGACATGTTCCTAGAACATGAGCCCGATGTGTTAAAACAAGACAGCCCCAACCAGAAATGTTCTAAGAGCAGTTCGCCCAGACCACAAAATGTTCTCAGAACATCCTTTGGTGGGCCAGGACGCCTCGCCACCGCCTGATGCAACGAAGGCCCATGAGGGGCAACGTCAAGGGGGGACCGGCTCAGCCGGGGGGGGGGAACGTCGACCTGGAATCGGCGATGCATCGCCGATAGATCGGTGACAGGCCCCCGATGGCGGAACCGCATGCTCCTGGACAGGGTGGGCTATCGGGTCCTACCGACGATCAATGGGCGATTGGGGGTCGATGCGTCCATCAAATTGAATCCTCGGGGGACCTGATCTGTCCCGTCGCGGCCCTATCCGCGTCGAATCCTCTTCGGATAGATGACGGCATCGTCGGATCCGTGTCGGATCAGCGTCGAATCCCCAACAAATCCAGGTCGAGTCCGCATCGAGCCCGCGTCGGGCACAAGAAAAAAACAAATTTTTGGGACAGGCGAGGTCCCCCGAAGATGCAACGTAACATCTCCCCCCCCCTGAGCTCATCCCCCCACCCAACGTTGCCCCTGATCTTTCTCCTGCTCAGTCAATCATCCAATCAGCAAACAGACACGATGCTCGTGTACCAGAATGGAGCAGGACAGAGCGACGGTGAACGGATGAAGCGTCGTGCACGTGCAGAGGGACACGATGTTCAATGAAAGATTCGGATCCAAAAAATCCCCGGACAACCTCCCGGACAACCCGGACAAGATGCATACCACAAGCGTCCCAGCATGTGATTGTAGCTGGCGCTCAAGCGGCAGCACAGGACGCACTGAGGGATGTGGCCGGCGCGGCGAGAGCACCACGCCTGATGATGAGACCTCTAAGGCGACAACACCAATTCCAGACGGGGATGTAGCCAGAGCCCGGGCGAGGGCACCACTCCCACTCACGGATGTTACTGGCACTCGAGCGACAGCGCCAGACGTACCCGTTAAAGAATTCAGCTGGCGTGGAGGCGAGAGCGCCGTTCCCAATCAGGGACGTGGCCAGCCCGCAATCCTCCTCCTCCTCCTCCTCCTCCTCCTCCTCCTCCTCCTCCTCCTCCTCCTCCTCCTCCCCTAGACCAGCTTTCGCGCGGCATCTCATCATCCAAATTTGTGAAGATGCCCTGGGTGAAACTGCCTGGAGCACCTCCGGTTCGAGCACATCTGAGCCCAGAGTTGCGAGGACGTCACAGGCGAAACTTGCCAGACAGCTTCGTTTCTGGTATCCGTGAGCCCAAAATCTGGAGGAAGTCTCATGCGAAACTGGCCGGACCAGCTCAGGCCAGAGTATATCGGAGCCCAGGAAGTCGCGAGGATGTCTCCTGCACAACTGCATGGACAAGTTCGTGCGCGGCATCTCGTAGCCCAGAGTTGCGAGGATATCCCAGGCGAAACTAAAGGGACAACCTCGTACGCGGAATCTCGGAGCCTAGAACTGCGACAACGTCGCAGGCGAAGCTGGCCAGACCAACTCTCGCGCGGCATCTCTGAGCCCAGAGTTGCGAGGATGTCTCAGGCGAAATGGGCTGGATGACATCGCGCGCGGCATGTCGCAGACAAACCTGGCTGGACCACCGCAGGTCAAAACATAGGAGCCCAGAGTTGCGAGGATCCCTCAGGCGAAGGTGGCTGAAGCACCTCGCTTGCACCATCTCTGAACCCAGAGCTGCGAGGACGTTTCAAGCTGCCGAAACTGGCCGCACCAACTCTCGCGCGGAATTTGACAAGATTTCTGGAGGGACGGTCCGCACCACCTTCGGTCACGGCATATCGGAGCCCAGAGATGCAAGGACGTCTCAAGCGACACGCGCTTGAAAACACTTCGCGCGCGGCAGATGTGAGACCAGAACCGCGAGGATGTCTTCTGCGACGCTGGCCGGGCCGCTTCAAGTTATGGCATATCGGAGTTGCGACGATACGTTGAACAAAACCGGCTGAATAATCTTGCGCGCGTCATCTCGAAACTCAGAGAGGCGAGACCTGCCTCAGGCGGGAGTGGCTGGACAATTTCACACGCCACATCCACGATCCTAGAGTTGCGGGGATGTCGCAGGCGGAACTTGCCAGACCACCTCTCGCGCGACCTCTGTGAGCCCAAGGCTGCGACGGGCCGCGTGCGCCGTAGCACGCGCGCGCCGCCGCCGAAACAACAGCCGCCGCCTTCACCGTCATCGTCGTCGTGGTGGTCCGTCTCCTCCTCCTCCTCCTCCTCCTCCTCCTCCTCCTCCTCCTCCTCCTCCTCCTCCTCCAGCGCCACCTCGCCCTCCTTATTTGTCTTCCTTTTCCGTCGGAGCCGGGCGGCGGGGAAAGGAGGACAGAAGGGAGGAACGGCAAGAGGACAAAGGAAAAACGAGGGGGGAGATCGCTACGGCGATTGTATAAAGAATGGATACAATGCGGCGGCAGCTGGCAATCTCCACGTGCTAATGATATTTCGTGGTCCCTGTGGCTCCGGCCCCCGATTTCGTTCCCACGCGGGCGAACCATTGTTGTGACTGCTGTGGCGGCGCTTCCCAAATGGGCTCCCGTGAAAAAGGCAGCTCGCGTGCGGCGCGCCTAGGTGTTCCTCATGGCATCGGTGCCTGGATCACCTCCTGCAGGACGCGGCTCGCAAGAGGGCACATCGTGGTGATCCTCGGAACGGTGATCTCTGACATGGTTCCCGCGCG